TTCTAGTACTATACCAGAAAGAGGGTTTATGGCATTTGCTTACTTGCGGCCAGATGTATCAATGTTTGTACATGTTTACTCCAAGGGTGGAGTTGTGTCTCTGCCTGCAGATGATAAGATCCCCAACATTAATGTGCTGTACAAGCTAAGGGCTACAATATGTGTAGGAGTGAGAAGGTACCTTCCGCAATATGCCTGTAAGGAGAGTCTTTTTGAGTTCCTCAGAAACGTGCTCGGATTCTGATGCAAACAAATAGTTTTGTCTTTTTGCAAAAGGAAAAAGTTAAAAATCAAACGGGTGAATGGTCCTGGCTCCCTGACTTTGCTGTCATGCCTATGCTATTTTAGTGATCTGGCTTGGGATCCAGTGCCCCTCCATCTCCCTTCACATACAGGATTGGGGTTGGCAGGTACCCCTGATTCTCAGTGTCTTCTACAGAAAATGTGACAAAGACAGCTTGGGAAGCTTTGGGATCTGTGGTTGGAGTAGAACAGATTTGTCCTCAACTAATACTTGCCTTGTTGATAAGTCTCTGGTCTCGTTGGTAAATTAACTTATAACCATCACCATTGGTTACTGAAGAGTCACCTCACTGAGGAAGCAAAAGGCGGGGGGGTGTGCTAAACTTGCATCTTAAAATGATCACCAATCTGACACCTAACTTTCAAGTACACTCTGTCCACTGGAATCTCAGCACCCAAGACTAAATCATGAAAGAAAATTAGGATCATGGATTTTACCTGACAGGGCCCAAGTACCTAAGTTAGGTGCTGAGGCTCCTTTTGCAGTGCATGGGGAGAATTTAGCATCTAATGGGATTCATAGCCAATGGTGAAGTCCATGTTACTGTATCTTAACAGCCAAGATAAAGCTAGCTCAGATACATCCACGCAGGCTGTACTCACGTCGCAGGTGGCAGGGTAGATGTGCCTTTTGAGAGACCAGGGTTATTTGCAAAGAGGCCCAGTGTAATCCTTTCCCACCCCTCCTGCCTCTTGGCTGCCCTCGCAGTAACATGCCCTCTGTAGGACTCACATGCCCAGTGCTTCGCTACTGGCTGCCGTCCCCACCTGGATTGCATGCAAAACTGTCTCAGCATGATCTTACCCTGGGCATCTCTGGATTTGTAGAGGACTACTGAGTGCTCACTCTCCTCAGACCTGGGTCATCACTTCAAGGTGTATGGATGAAGGATAGCTGTTTAGCTGGGGAAAAGGAAATAGCCTTAACATTCTCCTTCTGTGACTATCCCAGAACATCCCAAACTCAGGGATGGAAGAAGCTGGGAAAGAATGAGAGAGGGTAGTTATGCCCTATATTAGAGCTACCAGTAGGAATCCTTTGCAGTAATAACTCTTATCCTGGAGCTGGGTAATGTAGATATTGCCCCATTCTCTGCCCTCCCCTCTGAACTGAGTTATGGAAACAAAAGTTGCCGTGCAGTAGATCCTATGCATACAGATTACAGGAGGGGGAAAAGAGTTTTTCTGACTAACTAGCTGCTGTTTTGGACTGCCAGCATTGACCTAAGGTCACTTTATTTTCAGAATGAGTCTTGGGAGTAATGCAGGACACATTTAGCCTTCAGCGACAGCTGTGCAACCCTGTTGCTTGCAGTAGATTGCCCAGATGGACCTGATTGGAAATCAATGCTCAAAAAATCTCTTGGTGGCCCACAGGAGGAATAAAAGCCTGCTCAGCCCCTCTGTTCTGTTGGTCCTGCAGAAACAACAGGAGTGAGAACCCCACTGTGTCACCAAAGAGTCAGCAGATGTAGTGGCAATGCACTTTAAAAGTAATTTAGAAAATGGCATGGGTGCCTGGGTCATCAGCTAAGAGAAAAAAAAATCAGCCTTCACCAAATTATTTGCTTACCGCATCAATTTATTTCTACCTGGCAGGGTAATTACTCCAGGGCAGGTGAAACGTACATACTTACTTATGAAACCCATCAATCAAGTTAAATGGTGACTCACTAAGGAACCAACTCAGCTAATAACATGAACTATTGAACTAGCCAGTCATGCTCTGACAGACACGCTGAGAACAACAGTGCAGCAGTAGCAGCTGTTCCACAATACAAAAAAATAGCCATATTAATTTGAACCATATTCAGAGTTGCCATTTTGCCTGTGTGGGTGTTGTTTTTGTACAATACTATAAAGCATCTGATCCAGAATCCACTGAAGGCTGGAGAGTCAGGTCTGTATCCTGAACACTCAATCAAGGGACTAGGATGGTTACAGAGTTAAAAAAATAGGGTGGGAAATGCAATCAACTGCAATGAGCTGATAAGTTGACAAGCAGAACACCAGGATGGCTAGTCCAGATGGCAGGAACTGTAGGCGAAAGGGCTTTTATCCTGACAGCTCCATTAACAAGTGTGTGCATTTATTTGTAATGAGTTCATGCATAAGGAGCTTTTCAGTATACTGTGCACAATTCAGACCTAAACCCATTCGACCCTTGCTAAGCTTCAGCTCATTTATTCTCAAGTGTCTGTTGCAATCCTAGGTTTTACACTCATCACCTTGTCTACCTGGGCCAAAAATGGTCCCAGACAGTTAGTTATATACAATAGATAGAATGCTATTTCACTTTGCACACCCATGTGGTGGTTTCCTAGCCATGTGACTGGCATTTTTGGCACTTACACACTTAAGCATCCACAAAGCTATTGAACACGTAGAGTAGGCTGAGTTCCTGCCAGGCAGGTACACAGCTCTGTATGTGCATATGCTGGGTGAACACAAGCATTCAATTCTTCCCAGCCAAAGCCCATGATTATCAGACA